TAAGCTTAATGAGGTCAGCAAAGGCTTTCTAGAACAATTGATTTCTAAATTGAGTATTATGGGAGAAAGGGCATTCCAGGCACATTGGGCATATATCTACTATAAGGCATGGTACGCTGGGGCCACCACAAATATTTCATCATGGATGCAAAGTTAAAAAACAGCTTTACATAAGTTATATAAATATCTGATCACTATGTTGTACACCTGAAACTAATACAGTATGCCAACTGTAGTTGAAAAATAAAAAATTATTATTAAAAAAATGCAAAAACAACAACAACAACAAAAAAAACCCAGCTGAATCTGAACAAGTGGACAAGATTGAGAAGGTCTTTGTATGGCATGTTAAAGAGCTGGATTTTATCCTAAAGGTAGTAGAGGGCCAGTGAAGAATTTAAAGCATGGACGATGACATCAGTTTGATTGGTTGTTCCAAAAGCTCATTCTAGAAGTTCCAAGAAGACTGGACAAAAGCAGAACTGGGGGGAGTATGACTGGGAAGGGTTGTTGCAGTAATCCGAGCCAAACATAATGAGAAACTAGGATTGGATGACTAAATTCATAAGAAGGAAAAGGTGAAAAATAGGTTTCTAATTTGAACACCTGTATATAAGAATATAAGAAGAACTTCAGTTTTGCGATGTGAAGTTTTCAGCATTTATACAGCAGCCAGTTTCAGATATCTTAAAGGCATCTACGGGACTCTGGAGAGATTTGAAAACTCAGACTTGCAAGGTAGTTTTAATGAAAATTTTTGGATCCAAGTGTGTTTTCAGAAAAACTGCTATGTTTATAAGGTAAAAACTAATGATTGCCAGATTATTATGGAGAAAACTTGAGATCTGAATTTAGTTTTAGAAGTTAAAATTTGGAAGTCATTGGCATAAATGTGCTGGTTGGATCCATGGAAATAGAGGAGTATAAAGAATGAAAAGGACAAAGAGGAGAAAACAGTAAGGGAGGCCAGGCTTTTTAGAGTGAACTGGGAGGGAAGAGCTTGGGCAGGGTGTTGCTATGAAACAGCCCCTTGGCCCCCACCTGCAGCAAGCAGTCTCTCTTCTATTCTCCAGTCTTCAATGTACCTTTTACCTGCATACTGGAGATTCCTTTCTAAAATAGAAATCAAGTCATGTGACTTACCAGCTCAGAAATCTTAGCTGGCTCTACCTTTGTCCATGAAGTCTAAGTCTTCTAAGTTTTTCTAGGTGCCACCTGGCAAAGATTGAATAAAAGTCTTCAGCTACTTTTCCTCATCAAAACACCCTTCTGAGTACGCTGCCCTACAGACACAGCGCCCAAACCATTACTCACCCTGTTTTCTCTAAAAGTATAGTTTTTGGTGCTTCTCCAGTTATCAGAATCTCAATTTATCCCTTAAGATCTAACTAAATGTTCCCTCTTCTGTAAAGCCTTCTCAGAAGCCTCCAGTTACAATTCAAGGCTTCTGTTCTTTTTTTTACCACACATTTCCTTTTTACCTTTATCATAGCATGTGTCTCCGCCTGCCTTGACAGTTGTATGCATGCCTTTCTCCATTAGATGGTAAGCTCTTTGAGCCTACTCAGCTTTGTATCCCCAGGGCAACTAGCAAGCACAGTGGTGTTCCATAACACCAGGACTTGTTGTTGTTTAACTGGCACAATTAGTATCCAACACCACAAATCATGAATCACAATGAAGGTCTTCACTTTTTAATATATTTCTTGAAACTGCATCTTTGTGCAGAGGAATAAGGAAAAGCATTATGATTGGAGGATTTAGCATCCGTTGCAACTGACATAATAATAAATTCTAAAATCAGAGAATCAACATCAAACGTGAACATTTAAAATGGTAAAATAATACAAACAGAATTTTAGCAATAGAGGAAACCTGAAAGAGCTTGTCTAGTCCAGTGATTCGTAAACTCTCCTCTGTAGAGCCCTATTCCTCAGGGTGGGAGAGGGACGCAGGGTTTGCCAGGCCACCAAACTTTGCTTCACCTAGAGTAAGTCTACCGTTACGTGTTTATATAAGGCTTTCGAAAGAAATTGTCCTGAAAAATTGATTTGCTGTTAAATCGTTTTTGAAAACAGGATTGTAACCTTTAGGCTACTCGTATGACCTTGGTGACTCTGGGCCTCCATTTCCTCATCTGTAAAATGAAAACACTGCCATGATAGTTCCTGCTTTCATTCCGAGCCCCAGCTCTCCATTTTCAAGTGAAAAACAGACCCCCAAGAGAAGTGGCTTAGTTAGGCTACATCAGGAATTAATGACAGAACCAAGACTAGAATTTAACCACCGACCCTGACTGTTGTTTTCTTTTCTCTGTCTCCTTTTTAAAAATTCCTACAAAGTGGGTATAAACAAATTATGGATATTATATGAAAGGCAGATATATCTGGAGTTATATAGCATGTAAAAATAGAGCTATACTGTATCATAAATTTGCCTTATTTAAAGCTGGTATGCTAGCTATAACAATCGTTAATTGAACAATTACCTAATTTTACATTCTTTCTTCAAGTTTATAGAAATATGTGGGTGAGTTATTTGCATGTAACATTTTTCTCTTACAAAGCTACTTATGAGTTTTTTTCCTTCCTGGAAAATATCCATTTAATCGGTAGAAGCACTGTCATTCCACTAATCATTCCTTTCATGTTTAAGTCTCACTGCATCTAAATTTGAAAGCCTCACCAGGAAGTTATGAGGTTTGGGGAAGCAGGAGTCTCTAGATTCCGCTCCTTTCATTCACCTTTGCTTTGCTCTTCTTCCTCTCTTGATCCCCTCCTCTCCAAATCAAGAGTATCTGTGAAGAGAAAGTGAAGTTAGGAAAAGGCTGTCTGAGTGGTGTGTGTGGACAGCAGGGAAGGAAGGGCAGTCATGCCGCTCGGCCTGGTTGATGGTGGGTGGTGCTTATGGGCTGATGGCATTATAGCCTTGGGGGCTTTTTTGTTTAAAGGTGAAATAAAACAGCTCCCATAGAAACCTCCTTCTTCCCCTTCCTTCTGCCTCCATGGATAACTACCCATATGACTGCTGCTTCTGAGTCCAAGGAATGAGTGAGTAAAGGTCTTCAGAAGTGAAGTATTGGTCCTAATTAACTGTCCTTTAACAAATAAGTGTTAAAATTTTGTAATGTGTAATTATCTACTAGTTTGGGATTCGTAGGCTTTGAACACAAGTTAAACCACCTTTGCATCATGCACCTTTGGATATGCCAGCTACAGCGATGCAATAATACAGTAGGGAAGATGGTAGGGGCAGTGTTTAACCTACTTAAGATGAACTTTCTGAGGACATCGCAGCATCCATTTCACATGAACAGACTATTAAAAGCACTTTTGGTGAGACCTGCACCTGGCAATACGTTATTATTACTCATTTGTCCAGGTCACAGTAATTAAAAGTAACATTGACTTAGTGACATGTAATTCAGTCTGACATCTCTCTCCTCAACCCCTAGAGTAGTTCAAATTCTGATTAGAGCCATTATGTTAATTTTTTTAATCCAGTAGTTTTACAAAAGTTTCATGTATGTAAATATATTTATGGTAAGATGTTTGTCTTGCCATGGGCAAAGTAGTGCTTAGACCATGTAAAGAATAAAGCATCTTACCTTTAATTTCATTGCTATGCTTGAAATTTATTTCATAAGTCTGGAAAAAAAAAAAACCTGAAGAAATTCAGTTACGACTTACGCTTTTTGAGTTAGGTTTTGATGATTTTCTTTTGCTTCTCGCTCTGTTGGGTTGAAGGCAGGTAAACTATTCTGCAATCTGAATTAGTCCTTGAATTTCAGTTTTCCATAATTTTGTACTTTTTCCACAAATACATTTTAACTGAGTCAGATCCTCTTTACTGGAATCTATAAATCAAGGTGTCATTGCTTCTTTCGTTCTATGAAATTGGGTCAGTTATTATAACATCCACCTTTTATCACCAAGTCTTCTTGTCCTTTAATTCTTGTTTTTATTATATACTTGATTTAATGCCACATAGCTAGGAGTAATATCACATAACTATGGCCCAGAACAGCACAATATCCTTTTAAAATCTTTTTGATTGGAAAAGTAACAGTTGTAAAAATATTCAGTGTCAAATCTTGCTGAAGAATGATCTTGCAGAAATCTGGTTGTGAAGGAGGAAATTCAGAAAGGCCAAACAAGCTTTAATTCAGATAAGACTAGGAAAGGTACAGTTAATCCAACAAGTTAAGATGGAAAGTGAAGGTTGCGTACTCCTTTTCTTTCATTTTGTTTTTTTGTTTTTTGAGTTTTTTATTTAAATAATTAGACATAGTATATCTCTTTCATTTGTCTATTTCAAAACTTTAACATAGGAACAATTTATATTTTTATGTGAATTTTAAATGGGTCCTTTCCACAACTTGTAATTATCTGTAAAAAACATTTGCGGTCTATTTTATGGCAGCATTGGGTTGATTTATAAAGTACTGTCTTATATCAAACACCATTTTTCCACAGTATACTTCCCTTTGGAATTAATGTTCATATTCTACAAGAACCATCTAACACTCAGAGTATTAGCTGGCACGACTAAATGTGCTTATTTGTTTGTTTTTCTCTTGGAGATGCCATTAATAAAACAGATACTCTGAACAGATTTCGTAGAGTTAAAGAGCTTTCAGATTCAAAATTTTATACATAGTTCAGTGAGTATCATTATGAAAATACAGAGTTTACTGAAAAGATTACAAAAGAAAGATACAATGTTGAAAGGTAAATTTAAAACTTGAATAATATACCATATTGTATTGCTAGATTAATTTAGGCTGATTCAAAACTGACTCTTACCACACACCTGAAAGCTGACTTTATTTATAGCGTACCTAATCCGGGGAACTACTGGTTTGCTTTTGTTAAGAATAGGCATGCATTCTCTCCTCATTCAGCAAGTTGGTGGGTTTTCAGCATGCGAATGTTACCTCTGTTGTCTTCTCTAATTGTTGACTTACCGTTTTTGTTTTTTTTTTTTCCTTCTTTCAACAGTCAGTCAATAAGGACAAGTCTCAGGACTTCAAACGGGGCTCAGAATCTATGACACAGTAAGCAACTTTCCTTCCTAAATAATTTTCAGTGATAAATATTTGTGATGTTTTAGTAAGGACAGTTTCTTCATTTCTTTTTTTATAACATCATACTGTAAGTCAAATGTCAGATAATTGATTTATAAAAGAGTTTAGCCAGTTTGAAGAGAATATTTTAATGGTTGGACTTTGAGGGTGTGTATGAAAAAGTTTTAAGAAATAATATTAAAGAAAATAAAAATATCACACTAAATATTTGTTTTTGTGGACCCATTTTATTTATTTGAATGATATTTTGAAATGACATTAACTGAAAACTAGTGTATGTGGCTAAAAAAAATTATGACATACCTATTTTCAGGCATTAAGGGAAAAAAGCTAACATCCAGAACATTGTCATTGTATATTTTTAACAAATGCCTAATATTTGAGCAATTTATTTTGAGATATTTAAAAGATCTCTGGAAAGTTTTTGTATTTTTATTTAGTACTTGCTGTATCACTTAATACATAAATAGAAAATCCCACTTTTACCTCAAAAAATTACATCAAAAACATTTCCAAAATATTTCTCCATTTTTATCATTGCAGACCATTTTGTGCCTAATTTGAAGCTCAAACTTCATATTCACACATCACTAGCAAACTATCACACGAGTGCAGTGGCCTTGAACAGCTTAGGTGTCTATTGTGCCCTCGCATCCCACTTCTGTCACCCCACATACATGTGGGTCATGGTTACACACATGCACAAGAGAGTCCCTGCTGAATTTCCTTCAAGAAAACATTTGTGCAAATTAACCTTGCTGTATGCTTTGATGTTTTGAAGAAGAATTTATCTTCCACTTCAAAAATACTGATTCGGATGATAGTCTACTTTACAAGAATTATCCAATGAAATTATTTCACAAGATAATATTTCATTCTACAGATAAAAGACAGAGATGATTTTTATATGGTATTTAAGAGTCACAGAATCATGACATAGAAGATACCTCAGAAATTCTTCCTGTATCTCCTTTGTTTTATAGTCAAGAAAACTAAGTTGAAAGGTCTTGTGCAGATTGCACGGGGCACATTAATGTCAACTCTTGGACCAAGACACTATGTCTCCTGATTCCCAGACTACTGGTTGTGTGTGTGTGTGTGTGTGTGTGTGTGTGTGTGTGTGTCTTTTAAACTATATTTAGTGTTGTCAGGCTCCTTGGTGAGATGCCATTTTGCTCTAAGTTTAAAATCTTTCTGAGAGAGAAAATCTATTAATGATTATATAACTGTATACAGCTCTATATTGCCTTTAGAGCACAGTCACGTTATCACATTTGATTCTCTCCATTTCCCTGGGAGAGATGCAGACCACTATTCTGACCCCTTTTTTATGGAGAAACACCATCTGAGAGGCTGTGGCTTGTCTCAGGTCACCGCAGGTAGTAAGTGGCAGACCCAATACCAGTGCTTTCTCTCTTCTTTGTCAAAAGGTACAAACACACATCCTAGGTCTTTCCATTTTTTGTTTTTGTTGTATCTGCCAGGTACATTTTCAGTTCCAGTCTCCGAATAATTGAAATTTTGCATAATAGTTGATAATACAGTCACTGACCCTGAGGAGTTTATTCTCAAACACAGATCACTCATAATAGATAGATGATAGATAGATAGATAGATAGATAGATAGATAGATAGATAGATAGATAGATAGATAGATAGATAGGCAGGCAGGCATGCAGGCAGGCAGATAGATAGATAGATAGATAGATAGGCAGGCATACAAGAAAGGGAGGGAGGGAGAGAGAGAGAGAGAGGAAAGAGAGAAGGAGGGAGGAAGGGGAGGGGATGGGAGGGGAGGAGAGGAAGGACGAAAGACTGGAACAGTGAGGACAAACTGCATTTCAGACCAACACCTGAACACATTTAATACATTATGGGAACAATGCTCTCGGTGTCCTTGAATGTGTTTTACAAAAATTTTTACCTAATATGGGAATGAAAGGCTCTGTAGTCACTCTGACTACATTGGACAACTGTTTTCAGGTGATTCAGAGCTCCATGCCATACTCTCCAGATTCAAGTTTAAAAAGCCTCACAAACATCCCAGCCAGCTTCTCAAGGCTGTCAGGGCAGCTTGGCTTCCTTTAAATTTTCATCAGAAGTTCGGATATGTCTAAATGCTCAAGTTCATCTAGAGCCTTTCCCTATACTTGTAATTTCTTAGATGTAAAGATGAATCAAGATACATTTCTTATGAATTGAAAATTGGAGGTGAGTGGAAGGTGGAGTTACTATATAGCCCGGTATGTACGAAGAAGTCATCTCTTTATTTCTTTTAATTGACGTGAGTCTATTGCATCCAAGTAATTTTTTTGTTTCTTTTTCAGTCTTTCCATTCAGTTTGTACCATCTGCTCATTAGCTGGTTGACCAAAATATATAAAAAAAAAAAATTTCTCTTAACACTTTCCACTTGAATTTTTTGTCGTATGTATGTTTGTATGTATGTATGTACGCATGTACATATGTATTTGGAACGTTGATCACTTCTTTTTTTTTTAGGAATGTCTTTTACTTCTCTGCAAACAGTTTATACACATTTTAGTAAAACTACACTCTCTTTTTAAGATATCAACAAGAAACTTCTAAAGGTTCATTTAACAAAAGCATTTTCTTGAATGTCTTAAACTTTCACCTTTTGTACCTCATAGCTCCTATGATGTTATCATCTGCTGCCCAAGTCAGAGTTTGTGATGAAGCTTCTATAAATGTTATAATCCTTATAAGTAGTATTAATATTCCCTAGTTACTAATATATTTTTATCATGAGTTTGTTGGGGTTTTTTTAAACAAGGAATTCTTTATTTTATTAAGAACTTTGGTCTGAGAGAAGTTAATTTACGTGGTCATACTAAAGTCCTTTATTTATAAACACTCAAATTTGAACTGAATGAATGAATGAATGAAATCTCTTATTAATAAAGTGTTGCCATTAAAGTTAATCCCAAGTACCTATAGCTCCTTCACTATATATTTTTTCATGTTTATAATAATCTTGTTCCAGATTCCTTCAATTTTTTCTTGTCTTCATAAGGAGGTAGTTTACCTTTTCCCCCTAAAATGCCCTGTTACTTGCAACTTTTTTAAGTTCTTTGTCCACTTTTTAGCCTTTTTCTCACCCCCACCCCATTTCCGAAATCAAAACCATTCATTGTCAGGTGTGTGGCATCAGTATTCTTTATATATTCTAAATATGTTCTTTATCAGATACATGATTTGCAAATATTTTCTCCCAGTCTCTGTTTTGCCTTTGTATTCTCTTAATAGTGCTTTCAAAGAGCAAGCTTTTTAAAATTCTGACAAAATCCAGTTTATCAATTTTTTTCTTTTATGAATCATGCTTTAGCATAGTATCTAAGAAACCTTTCTTCAAGGTCACAATGGTTTTTCTCCTATGTTTTCCTGTGGAAGTTTTATAATTCTGGATTTTATATTTAAGTCTATGATCTGTTTTGTGTTAATTTTGTATATGGTATGATTTGGATCAGAGGGCTTTGTTCTGTTTTATTATTTTTTTGCATTTTGATATGTAGTTGTTACAGCACCATTTGTTGAAAAACACTTCTGCTTCAGCTGAATGGCCTTTTGCACCTTTGTTGGCAATGAGTTGTCAGTATGTATGTGAGTCTCTTTCTGCATTCTCTGTTCTGACCTGTTGATCTGCTTCTCTGTCTTCATGTCAGTGACACACTGTCCTGATTACTGTAGTTTCATAATATGTCTTGGAATCAAGTATTATTGTTCCTCCAACTTTGTCCTTTTTTAAAGTTGGTTTAGCCATTCAAGATCATTTTTATGTCTGCATGAATTTTAGAGTGAGCTTGTCGACTTCTACAACAAAGCCTGCTGGAATTCCAGTTGGCATTGCCTGGAATCCACAGATGAGTTTTGGGGAGAATTAACATGCTAACAATATTCAGTCATTTGACTGAAAATATTTATCATATATTTAACATGGTATATTTCTCCATTTATTTAAGTCTTCTTTAATGTCTCTCAATATTGTTTTTAGTTTACAGTGTATAACTCTTGTACATACTTGGCTGATTTACTCCTGCATATTTCATACATAAATGGCATCGTTTTTCAATTTCAATTTACAATTGTTTATTGCTAATTTATAGAAATAATACAAATAGTTGTATGTTGATGTATCATGCCACTTTTCTAAACTTTCTTATTAGTTTTTAATACCTTTTTAGTAGATTTCACTGAATTTTCTACATATATGTAGTCATGCAAATAAAAAGCAGTTTAATTTCTTCCTTCCCAATCTGGATACCTTTCATGCTTTTTCTTTCTTTGCCTTTGTTGCACTGGCTAGAACTTCCAGTACAGTGTCAAATAGAAATGATGAAAATAGACATTATCTTCTTTCTGATCCTATGGAAAATGGGAAATCATTGTCCTTTTTTCACTATAATTATGAAATTGTCATAGGTTTTTTTTTAATATATAAATGCCCCCTTTTAAGTAGTTTCCTTTGTTTTCTAGTTTGCTGAGAGTTTCTATCAGTAATGTGTGTTGAATTTTTGTCATATGCTTTTTCTGCATCTATTAAGATAATCCTATGGGTTTTCTTTTTTAATTTGTTAATATAGTAAGTTACATTGACTTTTCAAATGTTAAACCAACCTTTCACTCTTAAGATAAACCCCACTTATCCTTTTTATAAACTGGTGGGTTTGATTTGCTAAAATCTTACTTAAAATTTTTTGTATTTTATTCATGAAGAAAAAGGGTCTATAGTTCTCTTGTAATGTCTTAGTCTGATTTTGGTATCTGGGAAAACTAGCCTCATGGAATGATTTGGGGAGACTTCTTATCCCTTTAGTTTTCTGGATTGTATTTTGCAGCTGTGTATTACACACTCAAAAATATTTAGGATTGTTATGTCCTTTTGAAAGAAACTCTGACACCCTTATCATTAAATGGCTTTGTTTATTTCTGATAATATTCTTATATAGTCTACTTTAATATTAATAAAGTCACTACAGCTTCCTTATAATAGAGTTAGAATGGCATATGTTTTTTCATACTTTAAATATGAGGACAAAAATAGGTAAAACTTAAAGTGTGTTTCTTGTAAGCAACATACAGTTGAATTCGTGCTTTTTTAAAAAATCCAATATGATCAGCCTTTTATATAGGGTAATTAGACATTTTCATTTAATATGATTATATGGTTGAGTTTTAGTCTATCATATTGCTTTTTGTTTTCTGTTTATCTCAATTTTTTATTTTTGTCTTTTTCTGCTTTAGGTTTAGTATTTTTATCCATTTTATCTTTTCATTTTATCTTGTTTGTTAGCTTATTATCTACAATTCTTTTGCTGTTTTATTGATTTCTTTAGAATTTATAATATAAATTCTTATCACACAGTATATCCTCAAGAGCTTTAAAATAGTATACTTCAATTTATTCTCTCCTAACCATCATGCTTCTATAATCATATATTTTATTTTTATATATAAGCCCCTCACTACATTGTCATTGTTTTTGCTTAAACTGTCATCTTATGAAGCCATGGAAAACATGAAAATCTTACATATTTGCCCATTTCTTTACCATTTCCACTGTTTTTCATTCCTTTGTCTAGATCTGTAATTCCATCTATGGTTTTCCTTCTGCATGAGGAACCGCCTTTAACATTTTTTTTGTAGCGTTAGCTAGCTGAAAGTGAATACCTTCACTTTTTGCTTGTCTGAAAAGGTCTATTTCAACTTCATCTTTGAAAGCAGTTTCACTTGGTATGCAATTCTGTGTTGAAAGATTTGCATTTTTTTCTGGTACTTTAAAGATGTTGCTGCACTGTCTTCTCACTTGCTTGTTTTTCCAACAAGAAATAGGCTGTTATGCTTATCCATGTTCCTGTGTGCATAACGTGTTTTTCCCCACTTTGGCTACTTTTAAGATTTCTCTTTATCACTGATTTTGAACAATTTGATTATAATGTACCTTGTTAGAATTTTTTTCGTGTTTCTTGTGCTGGGGGTTGATTGAGCCTAGATATGTAGGTGGATAGTTTTCATCAAATTTGGAACGTTGTGGGCCACTTTTTCTTCTGTTTTTTTTTCTGTACCCCATTGTTTCTCTCCTCTTCTTTAAAGATTCCAATTATATGTATATTAGGTCATGTTAAGATGTCCCACAGCTCATCGATGCTTTATTTTTTTAATTCTGTTTTTTTCTGTGTATCTCATTTTGGATAATTTGTATTACTTTGTCTTCCAAGTTGTCTAATCTTTTCTCTGCAATGTCTAATCTGCCTTTAATCCTATCCAGTATATTTTTCACCTCAGGCATTTTAATTTTCATCTCTAGAAATTGAATTCGAATCTTTCTATGTATCTTTCTTGTGTCTACTTAAACTTTAGAGCAGGTGGAATACAGTTATAATAACTGATATATCTTTGATAATTCTAACATCTGTGTCAGTTAGGGATTGGTTTTATTTTTTGTCCTTATTATGGGTTATATTCTCCTATTTCTTTCCCTCCCTGTAAATTTTTATTAGATGCCACATATTGAAGAATTTATCTTGTGGCTGCTAGATGTTTTGTATTCCTATAAATATTCTTAAACTCTGTTGTAGAATGTAGTTAAGCTACTTAAAAACAGTGTGATTCTTTCAGGTCTTGCTTTTAAGATTGTTAAGTGAGACTGGAACTATCTTTAGAGCTACTTATTCTTCACTACTGACACAGATACCTTCTAGGCACTCTACTCAGTGCCTTCTGAGTTGTGAGGTTTTCCAACCTGATTGATGGGAATAAATACTGTTCCTGGCCTCGGGTCATTTCCTCAGATGCATTTCCTCAGATGCACACACCCATCAGTACTTTGCTGAATGCTTAAAGGAAGCCCTTTGCAGATCTTCAAGTTCTCACTGATGCTGTCTCCTCTCTGGCACTCTGTGAACTATACCCACCTTAGTCTCTCCAGACTCTCAGTTCTCACTCAGGGAGTCACCACGCTCCATGGCCTGGAAACTCTCAAGGCAGTAAGCTGGGCCATCGTAGGGTTCATCTCATTTATTTTCCATATTTTAGGAATCGCTGTTCTTTGTTGCCTGTGGTTCAGTATCTTGATAACTTTGGTTCATACACTTTCTCCAGTTCTTTTGTTGTAAATTTGATCCCTGTTACTTCATCTTGGCTGCATGCAAGAGTCTAGATGTTGTACGTATTTTTAAGGTAGCTTTCGGTTAGAGTGCATGTAGATGGTGGTAGAGAAAAGACGGAGAGGATCATACAGTCTGATTTTCCTACAGTGGTCAGGGAAAGCCAAAGATATAAGATGGCACTTAAGTCTTTAAAGACTGTGTAGAGACAGAATGAACAAAAAGAGAAAGACCTGGAAATGAGAAGTGTTGCAGTAGCTTAGGGACAAAGATGGGAAAGTGCCTGAGATCCCCAGAGGCTAGCAGAGTACTCTGTGGCTGAAACAGAGGTTGAAAACTAGGGCTTTTGCCAGCCAGAGTTAGTCCTGGTATCTTTGGTTGGGTCCACCATGTATGTGTGTAATTTTATTAGTTGTCCAAATATAGAAAGATATCACTTCAATGTAGATTTCTGACTTGAAAATAATCTGAAGCTTTCCACAGCCCTGTCGTATTACCCCTGCCTTGCTTCCCTGGTTCATCTTATCATTCTGGCCTCCGTAGACATTTGAGTTTTTATTTCAGTGCTACAGCATAGATAGATTCCCTGGATGTAGGCTAAAAGGTTGGACTGATTAAGGTTGTAAATTATCAGTCCTTTTTCCATAGCTCAACCTTCTTTTTCTCTCTCATCATTCTACTCCTTTCTTAAATATACTTCACTTTTTCTTTTATCTTTATAATTTCTGACCTTTTCCTTCTCAGTCATCTGACTTCATTTTACTTACACATCTCCATATTAGCCTTCTCAGACTAATGTGGTAGCAGTACCACAGCCTAGATGGCTTTAAGCAGCGGTTCCCAAACTTTTTGGCACCAGAGACCAGTGATCCTATGAAAATCTAATGCCTCATCATCTGAGGTGGAGCTGAGGCAGTGCTAGTGCTGGGGAGCAGTTGCAAATACAGATGAAGCTTCGCTTGCTGGCCCACTGCTCGTCTCCTGCTGTACGGCCCAGTTCCTAACAGGCCACAGACCGGTACTTGTCCACGGCCCAGGGTGTGGGAACTCCTAGCTTAAATAACTGAAATTTATTTTTTCATAGTTCTGGAAGCTGGAAGTTCACGATCAAAGTTCAAGCAGGGTTGCAGGTGTCCACCTTTTTGCTGTGTGACATGGCCTTCCTTTGGTGTATGTGTGAAGAGAAAGAGTTCTCTGGTGTCTTTTCCTCTTCTTATAAAGACACCAGTCCACTAGATTAGGGCCCCATTACCTCCTTAAAGTCCTGTCTCCAGATACATCCACTTCAGGGGTTAGGGCTTCAACTTGTATATTTTAAGAGAACACAACTCAGTCCATAACATTCTCTATTCAATTCTACTTATTACTTGATTTCGAAATGTTTATATCATTTTCAAGCTCTATTTTGATGTCTCGCACCATTCTTGGACATCCTAGAAAGGAGATAGTGCCTTCCGTTCTTTGATTTTCCCTTTTTACATTGTTTTTTTTATTTTCTTTCTCCTAACATAATTTGCACTACTACAGTTCATCCACAAAATATTTATTTTATATTTTACTGTTACAGTTGAGCCTTTTGAAAATCTGCATTCCCCATTCCACAGGTCAAAACATCACAGTTTTCTTATACATAAACTTCCTTCACCCCATTCTTTGTCATTAAGGAATCTCCTGTACTTTTACATACACATGCGTGCACACGTGCACACATGTTTTTTCATCTAATTTGATAAAACCTTTCCGGTTTTTCCCAAGCATCTCTCTGAGTGTAGTAAAATTTGTTTTATTCTTATCCCTTCATCACGGTTAAGGAGGAACCCAACCAGCTAAAGTTTTATGTCTCTGCATTATTTTGAGCAACTCCCTGCCTCTCACCCCCACATATACAATCACTTATATAGTCCGTCAGATGTTTTTCTGAGATCCTCCCCTTTCCATTCCCACTGTGACTTTCTTAGATCAGAGCTTCATCTGAGCTGTAGCAGCAGCATTCTTACTGGCTCCTTGTTTCTGATCTTTCCTTCCTACAGTTCTGACGTGGGCAAAGAACAGAGCCGTGGATGCCCAGGACACGTAAAGGAGATGCCGGTGAAGAAGAATGAGCAAACCGGCTGAAAAGTCAGTCTCATAGAGGTAAGAGGACATCTAGGAGAAAGTTGGGTCATAGAGTCAACAGGAAAAGATTTAAGAAAGTCATGGTTCACAAAGACAGATGTCAAAGAGAGGAGTAAAATAAAGACTGAAAAGTGCCTTTCGGGATGTGCAACCAAGAAGCCGTTTGTGACCTTCAAGAGGATGGTTTTGATGGAGAGTCCTGGAAGCGTGAATCAGATCGTCTCCTCTCCAAAAGGAAAAGATGGCCAGAAGAGGCTACTTCTCCAAGAAGCCAATTTCAAAGGGAAAAAAAAAGCTGGGCAGTAACTAGTGGAAAACACGGGATGTAGAGAAGGTCTTTATAGACAAGGGAATGACAAGCACATTTATAAACAGAGGAAAGAGTTCCTTGAGAGAACCCAGTGAAGGTATAGGATAAGGGGGAAATCCCAGGGACCATACACAGGATGAGAATTTGAAACAAGAAGGTGAGGCACTTCTTCCACTGAGATGGGCAGGTGGGCCACGGTGTGTTTGAATGGCAGTGTTTTCTGGTGAGAGGGTGGAGTATGAGAAAGGCCTTTCGGAAGGCCTCTGTTTTCCCTGTTAGGTAGAAGTGAAGTTTGTCCGCTTCACTTGGAACAGCTCTATCACAGACACTTTTATGACATTGTCACTTTCTGGGAACTAGATTCAAAATTTTCATACGTATTTTTATATTTTAATTGTAAAAAATAAACGGATTGTACAGATGAATAGTTATATAACCTTGGGTTAAGGTATGACATTTTAACCTTGATAACTGAATCAGAAAACATTTTGAAACAGTTTTTTAGATTTAAATAATAGAAATTTTAAAATGATGTACATACAGGCATACCTTAGAGATATTGTGGATTCCATTCCAGACCACCACAATAAAGTAAATATTGCAATAAAACAACTCATACTAATTTTTTGGTTTCCTAGTGCATATAAAAGTATGTTTGCACTATACCAAGTCTATTAAAGTGTGTAATAGAGTTACATCTAAAAACACAATGCATTGCATACCTTAATTTAAAAAATATACTTTATTACTAAAAAATACTGGCCATTATCTGAGCCTGTTGGGAAAACAGTGCCAATAGACTCTCTCAGTGCAGGACAGCCACACACCTTCAATGTGTAGAGAATGTGGTGTCCGCGAAGGACAGTAAAGTGAAGGGCAGTAAAACAAGCTCTGTCTGTGTGTCAAAGCAAAACCCATCATGAGCAAAATCTAAAGCAATCACCTAAGGTGAGGCAGAATTTTATAAACTGTATGACATATAAAGGATAAATGTAATACCCTTAACATAAAAAGCTCTAAAAAATAACAAGGAAAAGGATACCAATAGAAAAATTGGCAAAGGGTGTGCACAAGACACTCTTAAAGTAATTCTTAAAGGAAAATATATGAATAGCAATGAACGTATGAAAAATGTCCACCTTCCAGTGATCAAATTAGCAGAAATTAAAACAATAAATGTGATTTTTTCCTCACAAAATGGCAAGAAGTTTCAAACTTGTAATACCTAGTGTTGATAAGAGTATGAGGAAGTAGGGTCCCTCGTGCACTGCTGGTGATCGTCTAAGACTGATCCATTCTTTGTGGAGGGTAGTTTGGTAATACTTTTTTTTTTTTTAAGTTTTCAAATTGTTCATGTCCTTTGACCTGACAGAGTAATAGATTCTTCCAAGGAATCTATTGTAGGAAAATATTCAAGTATACATGCAGAGATTCAGTTAAAAGGCTACTCTTTCAAGCAGCGTTTTAAAAATAGAAGGAGCATGACCAGGGCCACATAGCTAATTAATGGCTAAACATCAAGACGTCTTGGCTCCTAGTATTTGTTATTATACCTATAACTTATAAAGCTCTTTCCACTATTGCCACTAGGCTTCTCATATATCTGAATTCCCTACCACAAAAACAGATACTCCATAAATATTTTATGGCAGAAATACAAATAAAAATAAAAAATAACAGAAGGAACAAAATTAATTTCTGTGAATAAAGGGTTGATTAATTTATGAAATATTTATGTAATAGAATACCATGTGGCAATTATTCATTATATTATAGAAATATTTTCAAAGATCTGGAAATATGTTTGGTAAATTTTTAAGTAAAATAAAGATGATTATAAAATAGTTTATGATATATAAACATAAAATGTTGAATAATATACATCAAAAAAATATCAGTAGTTACCAGAATGGTAGAACTGTGGTGATTTTTTTCTTTCACTTAGTGTATTTTCTCATTTTTCTGGTCAACACATTTAATATACTACTTGGTCATTTCTTTTAAAATGAGGGTAATTTCAGAACTTGTTCACAGCCCATTCTTTCCACATATAAAGAAATCAAGATCTCAGAGTCACAACTAAAAAGTGCCTGTACTAGGACTTGATCTTCTGACTCTGAGTTACAGGGTTATTTCTATTGTACAATGCTTTGTCTGTTAACTTTAATTAGATGGTAGTGCTTGTAGACGGGCTAAAACACGCTGTCATTTTTGCTCCCCAGTGCTTAGCCTGCTGTTTGGCCATATAGTAAACCTTCAGGGAATATTTATTGGATGGAATGTCTGTGAGTTAGATAGAACCCAGTATTTTTATGAATCTCCTTTGCACGTAGCATACAAAAACACTAATCTAGTTTCATATTCATTTTCAAAATCTTACTACACAGATTTCTCTTTTCATATGATTTGCCTTTATAACAGGCGCTCACTTCGTTACTGACTTCCTTTGTGAGCTTCCAAGGATACGTTAGGAAGAGATACCTCAGAGGAAGACGGGATTTGGATTCATTCTCGTGTCCTTTAGTTCGGTGGCATCCCTTCTTTCGCCAGATCTCCTCTGTCTCTTAGCTTTTCAGTCCCCATGCTGTCACCATTTCACCTTTCATCAAGATAATGTGCCACTCTTGCTTTTGCCCAGTTGTCACGAGGGGGGCTATCTGTTGTCAGAGGTCTGCATTTGACCGTCTCTTCTCCTTTTCCTTTAATTCTGTCTCTTTTCTCCCTTTCATGTCTTTGTCATTCTCTATCCAGTGTTCCTTCCTCTTCTTAGTCTGATTCATTTCCCTTAAAGATGTTATCTTTACTGCCCACTTCAGCTTTTTCTAGTTAAATTTCTCTTCGGGTTCCCTCTCCTGAGGCTCCTCCTGGCTTCTCTGTTTACTTCTCACAGTACAATCTCCACCTGATTAATTTAACTTGTCCTACATCTTCTGCACGTGCAGGATCCGTCTCACTCATTTCCAGCTGTTCTTCTCCCCCTTTCTTCTCCTTCCTTTTTCTGTTTTCCTTCTTTGTTTTTGTCCTGCTGTCATAAACTCCTCCTCTTACTCTGTTTTACCTTGTTATTCCTCTGAGATCCTTTTACTTTCCTCACTGTCCCCTGCAGATGTTTATAGGGTCTCTGGGTGACTTGTGTTCAACATCCATTTGAGCCTTTACTACTTACTTTCCCATTTTTATCGGACCCTAATTTATGGCAACTTTTATATACTTCACCTGTATACACACAGCGACAGAAACGATACCCTTTTTTTTTTTTTTTTTGCCCCTAATGATAGTGTACCGTGGCACATCAAATCAGGACCATTTTATACTCTACTTCAGTTGCTTTCATGAGCTTCACTGGAAACATTTTTTGGGCTTCTGTATATAATTCCAACTTATCTGTGGTGGCTCTGTTTAACAAATTTAAAATCAGGAACACCGACTGACAAAGGATTTTTTCCCTTCATGCGTAAATGTTTTTTATATGAAAAAAAATAGTATAATCGTTTACTTAAGGTCAGCCTTGTAACCCTCCTATGCCGCCAGGAAGGTCTTTGGGACACAGTTAGTTAGCCTGCCCTTTCTTGTCATAATGCTCTAGCCTTTACTCTTCTCAGGAGTGATCAGTGGAACCGACTACCAGCTAACCAGAATGCCATCATTCTTAGGCTGCACTTTGTTTTCTAAGAGCAACCACATGTTAAGTCCTTTCTGTTTAGAGAAAAGGCAACACTATTTTTGTGTCAAGTCCAGATACTCATCACAAATATATGAATAATTTCCTTCAAAATTTCAGTTTCAGCCCCATGAGTTTATCCCCCTCATTTTTGGTATACTCACTGCATGGTCTCTAAGAGAACAATTTTTTGTTTCCTCTGTCTCTTGGTTCTTGGTTTTTATTCATGGTATAATCGGTTTTATTTCAAAGCTGTGTCTAGATACATAGTTAGCCATCACTGTCTTTGTCAATCAAAAATGACACACAACATTTTCTAGATTTATTTGAAAAAAATGTTTACCTACTTGTAAAAGTAGACACAGTCATAGACGAAATGAAAAAAAAAAAATTCTATTTAATAAAATGATCTATATCTTTTCCAATCACTAACTTTGGAAAATGATCCATAATGATTTTTTTTCCAGTGAAGCATTTTATAAAGTGATTGCTCTTAATTTCTGGAAGTTACCCAAGGTTTGGAGTACTTGGTGTCTGTATTTGAGAAGTGTATTTCCTTTTTGCTTGTATTAAATGCTGGAGCAGGCTTTAAGCAACTGATGATGATACCAAAAATTGCTAACATTATGTTCAAGAGGCAAACTAGAAGCTAGGTAATTAACATTTTGGTCTTATTTGGTTGTGTGTGTGTGTACGTTGCACAGTATGTTTTGTTACCTGTGCTGTGTTGCCTGGGCATGCCAAAATGTGATTGTGGCCCAAAGTCCTTAAGTTCATTTAGTACATTTTATGCACTTTTCTTCTAGTGAAGAGTAGAAGAAGCATCAAGGGACAAAGAACCAAGTACACAGAAATGAAATGACACACCTAATGGAATTTCTCTTCAAAGTTTCTAATTTCCAGAAACTAAGGAAGAAAAGAAGAATCCACTATACCTGTCCTTATGAAAGAATCTAGAAACATCAGGTATGCTTGGAAAAATAAACGTGGCCTTTTGAGCTTAATTGTTATAAACCATTGTGATTGTTGTCGATCAAAGAATTGACATTTATCTTTATTAGTAATTGCATCAAAATTACATTACCACTGTTGGAAAAACAATAAAGGAAAAACCATAGACGCTACTCAGCAAATGTAAAGAAAAAGCATTTGCATTGTTAGGGAGTTCATTAAGTAATCGTTTATTTAATATTATTGTATCTGTAGTGTGGTTATTAGTATCTGTAATTTGTTTATATGTGACGTTATACTCAAAATATAAAGTATCTACTTTTGAAATTAACTTTATTTAAAATACCTCTTTCAGAATATTATATATTCAAAATGGTTTTAGTAAGAAAGGCATTAAATGGGAACAAATTTGTTTAGAATGAATCATATATATAACTTGATACAGATAAACTAAAGTGGCTTTTAGCTGGACTGGCAACAGTGTTCCAAATTTCTTTACATTTTTTTTAAAAAGCCTTTCATATTGAAGCATGTGTGATTTCTACACTAACGTTTAATATTTATTTTAGTCTTACTATTTCATTTTAAATTATTACATTGAGTTATTTATTTTATTAGTTCCAGAATAAGTCCAAAATGTGTGGTCATTACTATACGATTATACATTTTGAAGTATGATGTTATAATAGAAAACATTTATTTTTTTTCTTCACTCTTCTCCTTTCTCAAGTATGTGATTATAAGTCTGTCAATAAAATATTTAACCCCCAAAAGGTAAAAACTAATATAAAATTAGAGAACATACCAAATTAGACAATTGATTCCATTAAAATAAGAAGTGAGAAAAACAGTGTTGGGCACTGAGGTGTAAATTTTGCCCAGATGTATCCCCGATGTGAAATATCTTCTAGTAAAAATATATTTGGCTCTTATCCCTGCACATGTTGTAGAGGCATGAAAATTGGTAAACATGCCCCTGCTGTGTAGAACTTTGGGGGTGGGGGGAGCATTTTTGAAAGTGGAGTGTGGCATTGCATTGATGCCCAGTGAAGCCTTCAGCAATCAGCACGAAAGTCTGTTCTGAGAGCCCTGAGTTCCCACTGTTCTAGATGTGTATGCCTGTGCTTCGGTCACAGCTGGGCCCAGCCAGCTTGAGTCACCCTTGTACAAGCTTGTTTTTTCTGTCTTGTGAATGCCCTTGATAATTAAAAATAAAAATATGTGTCTCTCTTATGGTTTCAGCTCATTGTTTTGAAATGTGTGTTGATTCTCTGATTTCATTTTTAAAAACAAGGAATCTCATCAAGTTGCAGAAAGATTTTAAATCATGACAAATGAAATAATATGTCAGGGAAGCTAAACATATGCTGAGATCTCAACATTCATATGAAAAATAAGTAAAGTATTATTTTTATATTGCAGCTAAAGAAGACAAAAATAACAATTGAGGCAAACACCAGGAAAAGTTGGTTCCTCTCAAAGCCCACTTCTTTTTTGTCCTGTCGACAAAGCAAAACTGGGTTATGTTCACAAATAGATTAATAAAACATTCTTACCACATTCTCTGAAATGAGATGGGTAGGAGAGATCATAAAATTGTAATTCCAAATTATAATCAAGCAGAGGTGCAATCAGACACAGGAATGTATTTGAAGATTTTTGATAACAATACATTTTTCTTAGTAAAAAATTAGTTTTCTTTGTTTTATCTTCATTCCGAAATTCTGAATTTTATCCTAATTTTGAAGTCTTTTTTTCTCCAAACAAATAACAGTTTGGCCTGTCTTTTTCTATATCTAAATAATATTTTAAACCATCCTTAGAAACGTATTTCCCAATTATTGATTTTACTTTATCTTGATGATGAAAGAGCCTTCAATATTAAAACTATCAATGAATAGCATTTGCAAAGATAAACTATCAAGTCTTTTAAAGATGTAAAACATGAAGTATTTTATACCATAATTGCAAATTCATGTTTTAAATGCACATTTTAAATGAAATCATGTTTTTAAATGGCTAACACTTGGTACTTTTGAAATCTTGTACAAGTTTCTTTGCATAAAAGCAAATACTTGACCCTAATTTTATTTTTAAGTTGTAGAAAGACATTTTCTCCTTAAGAAATTCAGCAATACTATATCTGGAAAATAACTTATCATTTTATAGTTTTATATGACATGTCACTTTAGTCATATATTTAACTCAAAGATATTTTTCAGAGTTAGAAAATTCTAGAAACTAAAAAAAATTTGATCTTACACTTTTATATGTATTTAAATAATTTCCATCAAAGGGCCATTTCTGTTAAGTAAATTAGCAAAACATTTTTTAACAACTCAACTTTTTAAAGCTATATATTTATTGATTTCTACTTCATTGAACTTAACTACAGAAAATATTCCCCAAATCTTCAAATGCTTATGTACATGATCTCATTTCTCTTCACATCAAACCCATGAAGTAAATAAATTCTTCTCTGCCCTGCAAATAAGGAAACCAAGACTTTGAAGGCTGAGTAACTTGTCTCGGTGCACATGGCCAGTAAATGTCAGTGCCAGCTGTAAATGGAAGTTTGTCAGATGACCAGGTCTCTGAAGTGCTGGATCTCAGTTGCTGTGTAGAGTAAGCCAGCGAATTGTTATAGTTATATACTCCAGCACATGCAAGAATAACTAAAGAAGCAATTTGGATGTACCTACAACTACATTCAGGGACTAGAAACATCTAATATGTTTTTAATGCAATAGTGAACTAAATAAAATGAAATATATCAGAGTAAAAAAATAATTTAAGTGATATAATTTCTTTATCCATAATTATTTTGATAAATCTTTACTCCTGCTATAATTCTCACATTTTCTTAAGAAATAGATTCCATGGAATCAAATGAATACATATACAATAACATATTTAAGAAACAGTAAAGGCCCCATTCCAGTCATATATAATAAAAACATCAAGAGTCACGTCAATCAAAAAGGTCTGTTGACAGGCAAACTCAATCTATGGATGGACCCAATTATCTGTAAGAGAATTGGATGTCAGCATCATTTAGGGTTAACAATGGACCAACTAGGCAAAAGCAGACAACTACTCTCTGCAGAGACCCGGAAAGCAAACTTAGTAATGAGGCACCTCATTCATCATATCCTTCTGCTCTAGTTATTAAAGTGAATAGGAAATACTTTAAGTTAAGGCGGGAACTGGATAACATAAAAACATTTGTTTTGTAAACACAAAGAATGCTTTTTTTCTAATGATCTTCAAGTCTACATCAAGCATATGTTGTAAGCAGACTGTTTTCTAAAGTTGCTCTTCTCAAATTTATTCTGACTATGGATGGGTTATTTTTATTGTCTCAAAAAGTTAAGGAAAATGAGGCTGTTAAAAGTCTACAATTTTAATTTCTCTCAATCTAAATAATCTATAACCATATGTAATGCATGTTCCATCTCTATTACTATGTTAGGTCCGACTGTATATATTTGTGTCATTTCTAAAAGTACCAAACAGTCTGATTTTTACTTATTCTAGTTCATTTCTTCTTAAATCATCATTTGGTCCTTGCCAAGAATTGTGAAAGAATATGGTAGAGGAAAATGTAGGAATGGTTTGTTTATATAAACTTGTTGCCAGAGCAAAATATGAGCAACTGAAGCTTGCAAAAAGCAGTCATGAGACCGATGGAAGAAGGTTCCCTGGAGAAAAGCATGCTAGCTTCAGTTCGGTTTTTCAGTATTTTCAACTGAGAATCAGTAGTAGATGTTTTTCTGTTTGTTCACTGGCCCATTTTTATACAAACACTCCACATATTTTTTTTTTTCTGAGCTACAGTTCTTCAATTTAAAGTAAATGAAAGATGGCTAAGCAAGGTAATGTTTTTAACCATCCCTGCCTGTTTTATAGAAGTGAATGCTCAGAAGTATCTGCAGATGCTACTTTTAGCAACTAAATATTTCCATCGTGGTAAAGAAATGTCAGTAAAATCTATGCACTTAAGAACATCAAATTCTTATTATACTTATCGTGTGTGCAGGCAGAGTACATAATAAACTAGTCTATAGCAGCTGTAAATTTCTGAGGATTTATCTAACCACAAATACATTGAAATGGGGAAATGGGGCTATATTAAACTATGCAAGATGCTGCTGGAGCTTTGCCATTTCTGCAACATCCTGTAATTAATTTATCATGACAGGTCTGGCAAACTGAAACATCCAATGCACTTGCGACAGACTTTTATACTATACTTGTTGGAGATCCTGCAGTCACATAAAGTGAGGGCAGATTTTTCTTTCAAATGTGAATATAGCACTATTATATTTAGAGTGCCCTACGGCCAAGGACAGACTTGTCACTTTTGAATTTCAAAATAATATCTAGATCATAGAAAAGATCCTGGGCTGAGATCATGAGTTTAGCGTGTTCTTTGCATTGTGTGGTCTTTTCCTGAAGGATGGCCCTGGATAGGGGCTTGATACAGTCTGGTAAACCCTTTTCATGGGCATCTGTTGCTAGATATGATGAGATTCTCTCTTGGGAGATTTGGAGATCAGTTCTCTCTTGGTAATCTCTCGAACATGTCCGCCTTCTCCATCGTGTTTCACTGTCTTCTGGAAGCTACAGTCATGCCATTTTGTAAACTTAGAGCACAGATAAATACAGAAATTATTCCTGCTCCAACCCCCTCCAATCCAGGGAAAGAAAAAAATATTGCTCCTTTTTTCTTCTCTTTTTTGGTGGTGGTGGGTGGAGAGGGGCGGCAAAATAGATCTTCCTGTATAAGTTCATATCAGTATAAAAGAATGATCTTTTCTTGTGTGTAATTTGATAACAGGTCTTATAGTGCTTGATTTTAAGGATAGATTGTAGTAAACAAGGCTTCTTCTTGCTGGAGGAGTGGAGATCTCTCTCCTAAAAAGTGACATCTACATTGTATCAATGTCCACAGCCTTGCTCATTTCCTTTGGAAGGTCAGAATTCCTCAGACTATAAACAAGAGAACCCAAGGGGATCTGGGAACCTTCAATCTGCAAGTTTCAGTGAGAGGGGAAAAGTCACAGATGATAGAGAATAAGATGGGTCCTGCTCAATGGAAACAGACATGAGAAGCCTAGCAAGTGGCAGCGGTTCCAGCCCAGTTACCAAAAGCTAACTGTAAGCACTTTATGTTCTTCGTATTTTCTCTAGTACTTATCTTTCTCTATCCTTACTGCTGAAAATGGATCCTACCTCAGAGGACCTAAGAAGTGTGTTGCTTGGGCATAAGTTTAAAAAATCACCACCAGCAGCAGAACTCCAAGCTGAGTAACCCAAGGGAAAAGAGAACAAGAAAGCTTTCCAGTGCAGGAAAGCTTTCGTTTCCTTCCACTGCCTTTCACTTGAAATGCTCCCTTTGGAGTTTTTCTACGTAAAATTTGAAAATGAGATGGAGTGTGTGTGTGTCCTCCCTCAAAAAACAAAAACAAAAACAAAGGTCCTTCTTTCATGCATCCCAATTAAGTAACTAGTCCAGAATCACAGAAACCAGGATCAGGGCCCTCCCTCTTACTGCTTATTGTTCTACTCCTATTACTACTTACTAAACAATATTCTCACTGAACTCAAAGCTGCACTATTAAATCCTAATTCTGAGAACAAGTCCTAAATTTTCTCAACCTCATACACAACTAAAAGGAAATAGCATATATTGAGCATGACCTATATTCAGATAAATTCTACTTTAAAACTAGGCTATTACAACTGATGAATTTGAATAAGTAAGGATTGAAAGGAAAAAATGTAAACAAAGTGACATCAGAGAGTCTGGGGAAGTGACATTGGTTTCTTTGATTTTGGGTGTTTTACTATATTGACAGCTGGATACACATAGGAACTAATTCTATTTATTATATCAATAGCTGGAGTTATTGACTACCTGCCAAAATATATTTTTATAATTCAGGATCATCAATAGTTTTAACACTTTTAATGTTTTTTGAAATTGTGTGTGTGTATTTGAACATTCACTTTATTCAACAGCTGATTGTTGAATGCCTGTCCATCAAGCATTGGGTAGGAGTTGGATGGACAGTTGAACCAGAAACCTCACTCTTCTGCTCTGGTTCACCTTGAGATTGCCACTGTCACCCTACAATGGTTTTCAGGGGACCTCCACATACATTACCAAATTTGAGCCTTATAACCTTCGTTAGACACAAAAAGCATCATTCTCCCATTTTGCAAACCAATCACAAAG